TAACGTGCTGCAGAGGGTCTTGTTCTGAAAAGTGCATTAGATTCAAAACTGAATGCTACTCCAGATACCGCACAGGATAAAAGTGAAGGGGCTTATGGGATAACCTGTTAAAATCATTAGGTTTTCTTACTTCCTCTTCTCTACCCATACTGTAAATCAAATTAACATATAAACTACAGACTAACATTTAAATTTTAAGACTTCTTCTAACCAATAAATTTCTATATAACATCAATTTTTCCACGGAATTAAAATACTGAATGATGTATTTCGCAAAAGGGCCAGGAGTAATACATGCAAATAGAGGAATAAAAATCCCTTGGCACTCTCATTTGTAAATGTCTTTTTCAAGTTTTAGTGCATAATTAGTGAATATTTGGAGGAAATAAAAAAAATTAAAAAGCCAAAAGAGAGCATCCAAGCCCAGTCGTAGCTACACCAAATGAGACAAACAATTTATTCTTTGAATGACTGCAAAATTTTAGGAAGTTTCAGTGTCTCATGCAGTCCCAAGGAAAAAATTGCAAAATGAGGGTATATATTTTTAAGTGGTTATCATAGACGTTCAAGGCCAGGCATCTTTATCATGATTATTGTGATTGTCCTCACAGAAAATGCCAGTACCGTGCAAAAACAGATGAGATCCACCTGCACTGTTACCTAGTCGTATCAGCATCATATATCTCGTTATTACAGATGACTTATAGCTTATTAAGATGAAACTGCATTTCTTTACTTGATTGAATGGTGGTTTGACATAGAAACTATATACTGTAGTTTCAAACTACAGAAAATCAGACATATATACGCATTTTCAAGATCATACCAGAGATCAGATGCAGCCCATCAAAAATAAAATTATGGGATTAATATTATGTAATTTATAATGCTTCAAGAAGCATGAAACTAAATAATGCACTTTTGACACAAACTCCTAAACCGGTATGTTAGAAGAAAGCAACCCAAGGAAACTTATTTTTCAACAAGCAACCAGGGTAAAAACCTGTGGAAGTCAATAAAATGCTTTAAATCAGTAGACTTCAGTAAATGAGTGCATCTGGAGCAGCAAATCTTGCTGCCATTTTCAGAATGGGCAAGACTATGATTTACCTGAGAACAGATAAACAACCTGTCAGTGTCACAGGAAGAGGCTGAAAGAAGCTTCCTACTCAAGGGTAACTTTTCTTAATAAAACTGTCTTTCACTCAACAACTTAATTAACATTCAGAGCTCAAAGCTCTAGGAATAGGTGAGCGGAAAAACACTAATGTACCTTTCTTGGTGAAGGTAGGTTAAAGTTATTGCTACGTTGACGAACCTGTCGCAAACCACCATGGGATGAACCCTCAACACACCAGGTCTCTTCTTATGTAAGACCGAACATTGATTACGTATTAAAGTAGCCACTACTTAATTTTAAATCACAGTTCAGAATTTAATATAATTGTAGGCTTCATACAGAATATTATTTTAGTCACTCTGTTTCTGTCACTGCATTTTCTATGCTATCAGCACAGCTTCCAGCACAGCAGCTTCTTACTGATAGCCACAGGAAGTTCCTACTCCACCGTTCTCACAATCAGAAATGAGAAATATCACTCAAAAATTGTTTGTGGAAAAAAAGTTTCATCAACACCAAAACAGTACAAATTAGTTTAATTTCAGAAAGATGCAGAGTTATAAGCAAACACACTGGAAGCCACATATTCAAAATTCAGCAATATCCAAATTAATTTAATTTTGCTCAATTCAAATTTGACCTAGCATTTCAGTATTCACTTAATTTCTTTTGATAAAGATAAAACCCTAAATATAAAAATTGAAATATTTCATTCAGCTCAAAATTTTTTTCTGACTTACAGCTTCCACAGATCACTGCTCTCCACCTTTTGAAAGCCGCCAGAGCACAGGGGCCAGCCACCAAGGCCACCAAGCACAGGCCAGCCCAGCAACACACGAATTTGCTCCACAGCAGACGACAACTTTGTACCTCAAAGAATTAGACTCAGACTTCCCACTCTATGGAATAACTTTGCTTTTAGGTCAACAGTGCATATAATACATGCAATGCTGTGCCCGTGCCTTAAGCACTTACATTTGAAACTTGTTAACCCTTATCTTGAACCCATTAGAGCCTGACCCCACATAGACAAAATTCAGCTGCAATCAGAACGCCAACCCATCGCAGGCTTTCAGATTTGTCCCCAAATTTACGGTTCAATAACAAGGTAATTTCTCATTTATTTTGTTTGAATAAAGAGGAATAAATTCAAAAAACTGAGTAATAGCTACAATCTATTATGCTTGTGTCTGCTGTACATTGGTGCCAGCATGAGGGGGAACTAGTTAAGTATTTGCTGTCTGATTATTTTTTATTATTATTGTTATTTTTTTTTTTAAGATTCATGAGAGGAAAAGTCCGTATAAACATAATGGAAGATACAAAAACAGGACTAGTGCTTCTATGGCTCAGCACTTATTTTAAATACCTTTATTATTATAATATGCAATTATTTCTAGAGACAACAGGCAATGGACCAAGTTTTTCCTCATATCACATACTTTCTGTGATTTTTAACTGTGATGTCAAAAAAGAAGTCATTTTAGCAAGATAATAAACCTGCAAGAAATAGTTATCTCATTCTATTACTTCATTCTTACACCAGTTATGGATTTTTTGTGTGTGTGCACTTTAAATGAATGTTCACCCATTACTGTCAAGCAAGTCGTCTTACTACTTCACACTTTTTCTGTAAATCACAAATACCTTGCTTTCTAAACCCTTTGCATGCCTAATGATAGTGCCCTTCTGGAAGGAAAGGAACATTAAGAAATTAGTAGTGCATCTAAGAAAAAAAAGTGTCAGGTTATCAAAAACACTTTCCCCATCACTGTGAAGGCTGCTACCTCACACAGCACATTTAGAACAAAATTTAAGGTCTGAAACTTTTCTGACATGGCAGATTGAGTTTTTCTTGATCTTTTACAAAAGTTTACGCAAAAGACACAGATTTGATAGAAAAAAATGACTCTTTGAGCAAAATAAAAATCAGTTTCCTGACAGCTATTTAGTATCAGCCTCTCTCAAGAGGTGGGTAGGACTTTGCTACAGTTTTTATAAACTCCATAATGTTAGCTACAAGACATGCTGTCATCATGAAAGTCGACATTTCCTATAACCTTCCCTAAGGATAACATGTGCATCACAACATAATTTTTCTAGGCTCGAAAACACGCTCATATTGAATACTCCTGTGCCATCTTTGCACTTAAGAAAATAGCTCACCCAACACAATTCTAAACATGGTGTCGTGTCAAGCTGACTTATTTCCATTTCAATAAATCTGCCTGATATTTCCCTCCTGTGCCAGACAGGTGCACCGTCAGAATAACCCGGAGATCAGCCTTTCTCGAGGGTTGTGACTGAAGGATGTCATCCAGTTCGGTATAGTTGGATCAAGTGTTTCAGCAGCTTCTCACATGTTTCCCAGAGACTGCCAGGGAAGTTTCCTTAAAAACCTCTACATGGACATGAGACCTACCTACTTTCTGTTAAGAATTTTAGCACTCATTTTGCTGACAGGTATTGAAAGAGAATCACTGGATTTATTGTCTAATGCTGTTGCACTTGTTCTCTTTTCTAAAACACGTGTCATATTCCTGGATACATTAATTTTCAGCATTAATAATCATAGAATCATAGAATCTTTGGGTTGGAAGGGACCTTTAAAGGTCAATAAGGAACCTTTTTAGGATTTTTTAGGAACCAATCCAACCAGGACTGAGGAAACAATTTTAAGGAACCCTCCTTAAGGAGGAAAACATCAGACAGATTTATTGAAATGGAAATAAGTCAGCTTGACAAGTTACCTTGTTTAGAATTGTGTTGGGTGAGCTATTTTCTCAAAGTCCAACCCCCCTGCCACGAGCAGGGACATCTGCAACTAGATCAGGTTGCTCAGAGCCTCATCCAACCTCACCTGGAACGTTGCCAGGGATGTGGCATCTACCACGTCTCTGGGCAACATGGGCCAGGGGTTCACCACCCTTGCTATGAAAAATATCTTCCTTCTATCTAGTCTGAATTTACCCTCTTTTAGTTTAAAACCCTTACCCCTTGTCCTATCACTACAGGCCCTGCTAAAAAGTCCGTCCCCATCTTTCCTATAGGCCCCTTTAAGCACTGGCAGGCTGCAAATAAGGTCTCCCCGGAGCCTTCTCTTCTCCAGGCTGAACCTCCCCAACTCTCTCAGCCTGTCCTCACAGCAGAGCTGTTCCAGCCCCCAGAGCATTGCTGTGGCCTCCTCTGGCCCCACTTCAACAGGTCCATGTCTTTCCTGTGCCAAGGGCTCCAGAGCTGGACGCAGGACTCCCGCTGGGGTCTCACCAGAGCGGAGCAGAGGGGCAGAATCCCCTCCCTGGCCCTGCTGGCCACGCTGCTTTGGATGCAGCCCAGGATATGGTTGGCCTTCTGGGCTACGAGCACACATTGATGGCTCACGTCCAGCTTTTCCATTTCCGAACCATTTAACAATGTATTTTGAGAACTTTATACATTTTCAGTTTTGCTTTTATATATTTGCCTCAGCTCTGTCCAGAAAGCTTCTCCTCCTGGATAATTTCTCATGTTTGAATCCACTGACCAGTTTCAAACCAAAGGTAAAACAACAGTATTTCCTGTCACTACACGTGATCTGATCTCAGCCTTTGCACCTCGCACACAAGCCAGCCGTGAGACATGACGGGACCATGTCCTGGCTGACAACAGCACTCAGTGTGTGCACCACAGGGCTTCCTGAGCCAGTCTTCCAAGTTAATCCCAAAGGGTCCACGCATAAGAAAGGTACCTCATTTACCTATCTCACCTGTGCCTAAATTTTATGTCAGCAGATGGCCAGGTAGTATGTGGCATTTGGTATGGCGCAAGGGCTAATCAGAAGCTAAGCAATCCACACAACACAAAGTATAACACTACTGTTGCTGTATACATAAGAGCTCACCTGTACAGGAGAAATCATCCACACGGACATATCCCATGACACAGTCACAACGATAGGATCCAGGCAAGTTAACACAGACAGTATTGGCATGACAATAATGCATCTTGGCAGCACACTCATCAATATCTGCAGGGAAGAAGAACCAAGGAAAGCTACAGTCAGGCTTAGTGAAATGAGTAACGTGACACAATATTAGAATAAGAGAAAATAATTTCCATTTACAACTCCAAAAGCAATCTGGTTTAACTCTAGCATTGAAGAAGGTGGCAAATTTAGTAGAAAAGTGTTACTTAAAATAGAGCTACAACTCCTGTGTCATAGTAATGGGTTCCTACCACTGTTTTTCACAAAATCCTAAAATTTTTTAATTCTGCAAAAGTAACACATACATTTCGGGTTTTGCCTATGTCAATGTTAAAAGACAAAAACTGATGCAGATTTTTCAAACACATAAAACAGCATCAGAAGTATGCAACACTGAAAATCCTAACTTCCTCTTATTGGTAAACTAAAGCATGAATGCATAGTAACTCATGAGTAAAGCATGATATCAGTTGCAGTGCTGCACAGATATGGCACGGCAACGTTTGTCAGGGCAACGTAGCAGATCCAACCACAAAGCTGATCAGCAAGTATTGCAGCCCTCCAGACTCACCCACATGCTCCGACAGCGCCCTGTCCCTGAAACACGTTTCTGCTGCCAGAGTTACGGAACAGCGCGCTCTGCCACTTCCATGTCCCGCACAAGCAGAAGATTGAGCCAGTCACCTAAGCCCATTTTAAGCCTGCTTTACATCATCCCAATGGAGAAAAAAGGGAGTGCTGGCAACTTGACCCCACACCTCTCTTTGCTTGATCAAGTTCTACTGCTGCTGCAAATCCAAAATTCAAAACTGTTTTCACACAACAGTGAATCAAACCTATCATCTACTTGCCTGTCTAAATATCCCAAAGCTCTGTGATATTGTAAACTGTAAAATCTTCCCTCTTCCTTCCCCACAAAACCAGATATTATACTGAAGAATCCTCTTTATTTTTTTCCTCAGCAGGATAGATTTTCCGCTTAGTAGCACAAATTTTACATAAAGTAATTCATGGTTTTCAAAAGATTAATTCTAGTATTACATATGTCCACACAAAGAAAGATGACTCAGACTCATTTTTCCCCACTATTACTTTCTCCTTGTTATTGATTGCTTACACTCAAGAAAAGTATTAATTGACAACACAGCTGAAGAACCTCCTCAGCTGGTGGGGTACAGATGTGTTGGTCACCCCACAGTGTGGTCTCCTACCACATCCTCCCCCACAGCTATTTATCGAACATTTATAAATTTATACATGTTCCTTCTGTAGAGACCAAGCTACAGTCTCCCTTCTCTCTTACCAGACGGTGCTTATGGAGACACAATGGAAGTGCTACAAGGGGTCAGTACCATAACATCACGATTTAACCCCAGAACATGGGGGGGTGTTAATTGTGCACATATTGTTCTTGGTTGCCTAAATTCAGGTATCCTGTTTAACCGCCCTAAACCAAAGTAGCTGCAGCTGAGATACATCCACATTTTCCAGTCTCTGAAAATGAAACACATGCCAGCTATAGTCACACTTTCTATACGACAGACATCTGTCCAAGAGGAACAACTAGCTAAATCACTTTGTGTTGGCCACCAAACAGCTGTCAGTTGGCAGTGATTTCTGACTGCTGCCAACTTGGACTGAATTAGAAATGATGGCCTGGAGGCAAAAGACTCTGTAAACCGCTGCAAACACCTTGAACTATCTCATTCCCCCATTTCTGTTGTTTCTGTTGCAGCGCCACTTGATGAAATGAATTTTAAAAAGTCAGGAGCATCAATATATGGAAGATAAAAGCCAAGAAAAATCCTCCCACATGTCTTGTTATCACACCACTGAGTGCTACAGCCACTTGGGAAACACTCAGGTGTTGACGTGTGTTCACACTGTTCTGCTTGCAGCCTCTTTTTAATAGGCTTTTGGAGCATAGCTTTGAGGAGTTTTGTTCTTGCATATCTAATAATTTTCTAGCATAAAAGGGAAAAGAATGAAAAGATGTCTGAAAAGAAAGCAAGAATGTCAAAACAGCAACCAATTCACCTGAAAATTAACCTCATGCGCTACCCTCTATCTCCAGCTGCGTCACTGAATTCACTGGACAAGACTCCTCTTTTTTCCACCAAAGGGAAGCAAGAGGATTAAAAGTCTCAAAGGTGAAGCAATTTGAACTTCTGTTCATTGCAAGCAAGGCCTGCATTACCGTAACACAAAATATGAGAAAATACACAGCGATAAAAAGATAATTCACAACCTATATGAAAATACTGCTGTGGAAGAATTTCTGAAAAGGAGACCAAGGACTTCAAGTGATGACTTGACTATAAATAGGGGCATTGAGAACAACTGACACTGGGTTTTTGCAGGAGTCCTTGAGTTCAGGAGACTGGGCCTAAAAAAGGAAGCAGAAGGAACAAAAGAGCCCTCTCTTCAAACTTTGCTCATTTATTTAACACCCTTCTCAGTGTTTCTTGGTGCATTTTCCATAAAACCTTTCAGTATTTCACATTTTCTTTTACCTTTGCAGTGTTAGCCTTCTACTAATACGTGCATTTCCTTTACAGACAATAATACTGAGGGGTCAAAACTGGAAATAGTATTTTCTTATTAAAGCCTGCAGGGCAATGCTAAAGCTGTTGTTCTGGACAACAATTCTACAAATTCTTGTAAAAGGTTAGGTATTCATCACAAAGAGCTTTGGGTTTTTACTTAATATTGTTAGAGTAAAATCCATAAAGCACACAGTGGTATAGATCAGCTCAGTTGTAATGGAACTCAAATTGTGATTCATGTGTATAGATTGCTTGTCGCATTTGAAATATTAGAACTCATCTTCTAGTGGTCTTTTGAGGTGATAAAAATACATGATTTATGTTTCTCTCTAGACCGGTGAAGTAGTTTGTTTTTCTTTTAAAAAGGTATACTTATGGTCTTTAAAATGAGACTTGACACAGCATAATGATCATTCACATATCACCAGTTTCCATCTACATAAGCTAGCTCTTTGCAACAACAAAGACATTTGGGCTTCAGCTTTTCAGTAAGGACCATTACATTATCGGGTGGGTTGGTTTGGTGAGCGAGTGCTATTCTACTGGGTTCAAGTGTTTCCTTAATAGTTAGCGAAATAGGGTTCATTGCCTATAGCTAATCAGTTATCAGTATTACCTCATACGGTTCTAAAGATTGCTCATGAGCTTACAGGGAAATACACACATACTATCTTCTATTATTTGTGTCAGTGCGCTCAGCAATGCTATGAGTACACTGAGAAAAAACACAAGAAATGTATCTCACTGGAGCTACCTGCTTCGCACATGACATGCTGTTTGCCACACGGCAGACACCCATCATCTCATACCAACCAACTGAGCAAAACAAGATGGGATGGAAAGACAATACAAATGGTGTTCAACCCGTGGCCAGTGAAAGAGGTTTTCCCGTCTGCAAATGTACTTTACAAACTTTACAAACCAACACTTAACTCTTTTCATGCCCAACTTGGAATCCTATTGCTAAATAATTCAAATATTTAAGCATGACGAGACACCAAATTTCTAGAGCATCTTTTTACAGTTTGTGCCCTCCAACAAATGTCATATCAAAACAAATTAATCTCTGCTGTAAAGAGAGCATAGTTCCTGTTGAGAATGGGAGTTTCGTCCGTTCACTCAAAGGGTGAATTTTTAGTCTCTTTATGTTATGATTTTTTGCCTTAAAAAATGAAAATAAAAAATAGAGCTTTTTATAAACTGAGTCTCCAATAATCTTATTTTTAAACTGTTGGTCCTGTAATAACCACAAGTGAACAATCTTAAAAGAAAGCACTCTCTGGAATTGCAGACCGCTGCTTCCACGCTTTTAATAGCAATCCGTTTGGACTTTAGCAGTATCATCACCTGTTGTTTGGGGCTTCATAGTTTAACTACTGGAAGACGATAACATTCAAATCAAAACAAAATAAAACAAACTATGAAGCGTTCCAGAGCACCAACAGATGATGTATGTGGAAATTTGCTAAGTATCAGAATCAATTACTCCATTTGCAGCCATTTCCCAATTACTCGCTTTCTGGCTGGGGAGCATATTTTCCCAAGCTTATTTCTAACTTTCAAGCACTCTGTAAGGAAGCAAAGACAGAAAATCAAACACATGGGAAAAAAAGGACAGCTTTGCAGAAGGCTCTGATCTCTAATTCATGATTCCCGACCAGAAAACCTTGGGGGGGGGGGTAGGTTTTTAGACCAAAACCTGGTTTAAATAATCTGAACTTTTAAAAATGTAAAACCAACCTGTGTTGTTATTTAAATAATAGCAAATCTTAAATTATGTTCACAAGCTGACGGAATCATATAAACAAAGTTTCCAAAACAGTGGAGCACAACAGTGGTAGTACATAAGAAAAGTCCTAAAATTTCAGTCACCCTATGCTTATGCGAAAACCAAGGCATGCTATTTTCAGTCCACTGACTTAGCAGCTCCTTGTTCATTATATTTACTTTTTGTTCTCCAAATTCTCCCTGATTGTGTCCTCTCCCGCTCTTATCTCCTTTCCACTACCAGACTCGCTTGACTTCAGCTCTGCTTGCCTTTTTCTTTTCTCCCCCCTCCCACTGTCTGTCTCCTTTCCCTTATGTCTAACATACCCCAGACCCATTTTTTTACCTTTAGCACAGGCTTGGTTTCTCAAATTATGCAATACAACCCTCAGGGAGTCATAAAGCGCTAGACAACAGCTGTCAGCAGTTCTCTGTGCACTGGCAGCAGCTCAGCTTCTCCTAGTTGTCTGAGTCAGAAAAGACTAATTATTGGCTGCAAATGTTTAAGCTAGCCTTAAAAGTATTTACCAACTTGGACTCCTGGAAAGCAATTCATCTCCTCCAAGGTAGGACAGCAGTGCAAAGACAGGTGACCCTGGCCATTGTCCCTCCTGACTTGGAGGGACAGAGCTGCTGCCCAGTCAGAGGCAAGGGAACAACTCAAACAGCCAAAGGAAAAATTACCTTTCAGTAAAGGCTGAGAAACATTACCCTAACGTCATGTAAGTA